TTTCCATGATCTTTGTAAAATATTTATTTGAAAGGCAGTTACACACACACATACACAGAGACAACAGCCTAGGCTATACCAAACCAAAGCCAGGAGCCAAGAGATTTATCTGAGTCTCTCACGTAGGGGCAAAGACCCAAGGACTTGGGCCATCCTCTGCTTCTTTCCCAGGCGCATTAGTGGGGAGTTAGATAGGAAGTAGAGCAGCCAGAACTTGAACCAGCACCCATATAGGGTGGCAGCACTGCAGGCCGCAGCTTAACCTGCTATGCCACAACAGCAGCCCTATCTATGATCTTTTTTCAAGGCACTTCTATATATAGATTTAAAATTTTTGTACCAAAATAAGTTTATCTTTCAGTTCCATTTTTACAAAAACTTTTGAAAGTGCCCTCAAACTGTAATTCTATTTCATGAAAGTCTGGAACTGGTAAGCTAAAGCATAGTGACAGAAAGCTGACCTGTTTTTGTCTGGGACTAATGTAGAAGAAGGGACTCAATGCAAAGTGGTGTGAAGAAATTTATGAATGATGAAAATGTTCTATTCATTGATTGTCCTGATGGTTACTAGGTAGAAGTAGTTATAAATTATTTCAAACCATACACTAAAAATGAGGGGATTGGAAACTTTTTATTGACCAAATATCACTCACAGAAATAACACAATTTGTCCTTTTCTAGAAAAATAAAAAAACAGAAATCCTTCTATGATGATTGGTATGTTCCCCATATCGGAGCCATGGTTCTGTCCTGCCTGCTATGCATCCAATCCAGCTCCCTACTAATGCATAGGAGAAAGCAGCAGAAGATGGATCAAGTACTTGAACTCTGCCACCCATATGGGAGACCTGGATGGAGTTCCAGGCTCCTTGCTTCAGTGTGGGTCTGCCTACGCTATTGTAGCTATTTGAGCAATGAACTAGCAGATGGAAGAACTTGATATTTCTCTCTCTCTCTCTTTCTCTGCCTTTCATTTTTATAAATAAATAAATCCTTAAAAATTAAAAAAATAAAAAATACATGATAAACATTTTAAAGGTTTTCTTCTAAACTCCCATCCATTATGGTTCTTACTCACCAAGGATGCTTTTCAAGGCAGAAAGTAAGGTGTCCGTGAAAGGAAGACAGACATCTCTCCTGTTATGACTGACTTGGGGTCATCTTCCACGTATTTTCCATTAATACAGCTTTGTGATAATTTGCTCCGGACATGCTCCCTTGTGAGTCTGTGTGATAAAAAGAATAAGAGGAAAGGACACAGAAAGATATACATCAGAATTTTACCCATCGAATGAGCAGTTGTGGAAATAGTAACCAGGGCCTTAAATTATAGACATCTAATTTCTCAAAGGGAGGATCATGGTTATTATTGGTTAAGACCAGAAATCCTACTTTCTTAGTTCAGTTTTGCTGTTCCTTCTAGCCTGTAGACCTCAGCAAATATTTCTGGTCCTTAGTTTTGTTTTGTTTTGTTTTGTTTTTTTTTAATCATAAATGATGGGCTTGGCAGAAAGATTTCCAGTGCTTTGGCTCCAAACTTAGTAACAGACGCCCAAGATGGCATGGTTCATAAGGCTGTGAATACCTTTAACTTCTAGAGATCAGTCAGTACATTGATTTTGGTGATTTGTTCCTAATTACATGAAAAACAAGTAGACATTTGTACCGAAAGAAACAAAATGTCCATGAGTTTTCTACTCAGAGGCAGTTTAACATTCTGTCAAAAGCAGTTGATTTATGCACACATGCAGCTTTATGTTCTCTGCTCATTGTACTAAACATACACATCTACAGATGGATACTGAACTACTTAATCTTTCTCCATTTGTTGGAATTTAACCTTATTTCCCTTTTTACAATGCTTTGGTGAGTGCATGTGTTTGTATGTATAAACACCTGTTGGTGAGAGTGTAGCAGAAACATATTGGGAGAAACAAATTTTGTCTCTATTTCTCTGCTTTCAAGAATACTCTACTCACTGCAGTTTTTTTTTTTTTTTTTAAAGTTTATATTTAGAGCTTAATTATCAGGTCAAAAAATATATGTAAGTAAAAGAGAAATGTTAAGTCTTTTTGTTAAACTCATGAATTCATAAGGATCTAACATTGTTTATGGGGTGTAGGGTTTGATATTCATCAAGGAAAGCTCCTGAGTTATTTCATTTAGACAAGTGTAACCAGCAATAGAATGCTTTTGAGCTAAAGATGATGTAAGGTAAATGAAAAGGCTAAAGCTTGTCAAGAGTATTAGAACAAGTGTCAGAATTTTTCAGATAGAAAATTACAAGACCCAGAGGTCAGGGCTGCTGTTGTGTTGTGGAAAATCAAAACAGTAGATAAAGACGCCAAAAAGCAAGAGATAGGGATTACAGGCACAAGTGTCAGTAAAACAAAAGTAGTTAACATCAAGTTCAGAAAATGTTAGAAATTAGCTTGGTAAAATGCTGGTAGCTTTTTTTTTTTTTTTCCAGAAACATTGCAAGAAACAAAAAAGAAATAAAGGAAGAAGTTTGTTATTTTTGTCTTTTCTGTTAGGGCCAGTAATTATCAGAAAGATAGGACATTATGTCCCTCTTTTCTCTACATCCACCTCTGCCCCAGGGCTCATGCTTTTCTTTTTGGACTGAATCCAAAGTAGCTCCCTCATAGCGTGAAATCAAGATTAAATACTTTTATTTTGATGTAAATATACTTGAATTTCATCTGTAACAGTGTTATGTTTTGAATATAATTTTATATTTGATGATAGAACCTCAAAATTATTATGAGTCCAGAAATGCTAACCTCTATGCATTCACCTTGGAGAATGAACTACTTCTCTTGCCTGACTGTCAAGTTTAGGATCTAACAGCTAATGCATCCACTTAGATACAACAGGTGGTATAATAGAAGGCAGAGTGGCTGTTTGGCAACTAAGATGCAAAATCTGTGACACACTAAGTATAAGAGGTCAATAACTGATAGAGTGGGGTATATCACCTGGATACACCTTAATGGGAGAGTTGGAGTAACCAAAGAACCAGAAATGTTTATGATAAAGATAAGAAGATGTGTTTCTACTAGTACCTCCTTCACCCACCTTAGTAAGTCTTGAGTTCAGGGGAATGGCAGATCAAGTAGGAGGGGAAAATATAGACCAGATCATAACGACTTTTTCTTTCTTTTTTCTTTTTTTAGATTTACTTAAATGCAAAATGTCAGAAAGAGAGAGAGAGAGAGAGAGAGGTAGAGCTAGAGAGAGAGAGAGAGAGAGAGATTCCATCTACTAGTTTACTCCCCAGTGGCCACATAGCCAGGGCTGGGCCAAGCCAAAGCCCTCCATTTGTTGGAATTTCCACCCAGGTTTCCCACATGGGTGGCAAGATTCAAATACTTGGGCCATATTTTACTTCCTTCCTGGTGTGTTCTCAGGAAACTAGACCAGAAGCAGAGCAGCTAGGACTTGAACCAGTGCTCTAATGTGGCTTCCTGTGTTCCATGAGTGGTTAACCTGCTGTACCGCAATACCAGCCGTTGAAGACATTTTCATCTTGAAAACTCAGTAGTTGTAGGATGTGATCTGGAAGTGATGCCCTTAGCCTTGCGTTTTATAAAAATTGTAATTGGACAGTGTGGCCAGGGATCAGGGGGGCAGAGAAGTGGGGAAGAATCTATTGGCAGGGGTTTTAGTGACCTCTGGGCACACTATGAAGATCTGAAATAAGGCAGTGATGGAAAGAAGAGGAGGAGGGTGGATATAACAAGACTAGAGTCAACAGAATTTTGTTATTGAATTCATGTGGCAGTGACTTGAGGGGAGAGCAATCTATAGTTAATTAATCCTAAGTTTCTGGTAGTGTAAGTTGAGAAATAGAGTGGCAGGAGCAATTTATATGAGGAAAGAAAGGTTTGAGATGCTGGTTGCATATTAAGGTGATGGTATCCAAAATCCAAATATCCATGACTGGCACAGTGCATTATTTAGTTATTAATGCCATGTTTATTGAGCACTATGTTGGCTGCTATTATTATTTTAACTTTACCAGTGATGAAACTGAGGCACAAGCAAGGTTGATAACTTACCTAAGGTAACAAAGAAAGTAAAAAAGGAAGCTAAAATTTGAGTGTGGAAACATGGATTGCAGTCCCCCCTCTTAACCGCTGTCTGTGCCTGCTTTGCAACAAGATCGGATTTGTCAAAGCTATTGCCTAGAGATAGGGATTTGGGTGTCAGCAGTTTACATGAGGGAAATGAAACCACTGGCCTGACTGATATGCCCCTGGGGAGTCTGGACTTAGCATGAGCACTGAGGTCACACCTTGCTGTTCAGACAGGAATTGAGCTTGAGAAAGAGAATGAATGACCAGAGAGATAGGAGGAAAATTCAGAAAGAACATTACTATAAAACCCAAGTTAAATGGTAGTATTTTCTTTTCTAAAGAAATGAAATCATTAACAGTTCTGACATCCTGAAAACTATGAATGTACTTCATAACGTTTGTGCAAAATGGAATTAAAAGGTAAGTTCCTTTTGGTGCAAAACTTTTGGAAGCCATGCATAGGTTTTTTTTCCTAACACGCAATTTCTACAAACTTCTTGAAGACCTACCATGTGCATGGAATTCAAAATTTTTGCACTAAAATAATCTTATTTTTTTAAGAACTATTTTTCCACAGACTTTTCAAAGTACCTTTGTGCAGCTGTCAATATCTTTTAGACAGCACTAGAGATACTTGCCATGGGAATTTAAATTCAGTTTTTCAGAAATAGAAGAAAAGAGCTGGGGAGTGTAAGAGTGGAGACTGTCATTCCAGATAACCCCCTCTATTCTGTGACGAGATGTGATTGTCCCCGCAAGAGAAGGACTGAGTAGAAGACAGTGGTGATGAAAGGAAAGATTTTTCTTACAGTGAGTGAGACAGGATTCTGTGTCTATGAATTTAAGGGTAATCTGTCTTGAAGTAAGAATTTAAAATAAAAATGCAAAATTATGATTCGAAATGCTTTTTAAACTTTCCAGAACATTATACATCCATGGGCATACCAAGTTGGATTTCACAGTCTGGCATACAGCAATTGAAAAAGCAGCAGGTACAGATGGTAATGCATTACAAGATCAGCAGCTCAGCAAAAATGACGTCCCCATTATCGTGAACAGCTGCATAGCATTTGTTACACAGTATGGTACGTATCACAGGGTTCTTATTCAACCCCTAGTATTCACAGTGTCATTCTTACAGTTTTTCAGTGGCACCTCTATTGGACCAAATCAAGCCCTTTGTATTTGCAAGTGTACCAGTGAAAAGGAAAAGCCTAGTCTCATGCTCAGCTAACTGGCATTCCTTCTCTCAATAAAACTCATTTGGACCCCATAATACACTTTCACCGTTTCCTTCTTTTGATGACTAAAAAGTGTTAAATAATGTATTGAATGAATCTATGTTGTAAAGTGTATAAAAATAGTGAGGACCATGATTTTCTGTTATTGCAAGCATGGAATAAATCCAGCAGTAACTCAGTCTCTCTAAGCATGCGCTTAGAAATGGTAAAAACTATGGAACAATATGTAAAAGATCTTGTTTTCTGTTTTCATGCGTACAAAATGTGTGTGTGTGTGTGTTTCATTCAATATGCAATTGGTCAGATATGCAATAGATATTTCTGTGTAGAGTTTGCAGATCAAAAGTTGAACTAAAGCTATGTTGTCCAGCTTCATGTTAATTTCATATGCTATGATAGAATTTTTAGATTCACCTCAAAAATAGCCTTTATTCCTCATGTTTTTATTTATTTATTTTATATGCATATCTTTCATACTCTGAAAGGTAACAAAAATTCCTATTTGTATTTCTAATGCAACAATGTTCTCACTTAAAATTTTTTTTAACTTATTTATTTGAGAGTCAAAGAGACAGACAATGAGATAGGGAGCTCTTATCCCCTAGCCCACTCCCCAAATGCTTAGAACGATCCATAGCTGGGGCCAGTACCGGGATCCAGCAACTCAATCGAGATCCCCCACATGGTCCCAGGGACCCAATCACAAGCCATTACTGCCCTCTCCAAGGGTGTGCATTGGCATGCAGCCAGAGCCAGGAGCTGGAGACAACTCTGCAACCCAGGTACGCTGATGTGGGATGCTAGAATCTTTGCCAGTGTCTTAACAGTTATGGCAAATGGCCACCTCCAAAATTTTCCCACCTTTCATCCTGTAGCTTATTTAGATGAGAAATATTAAAAAGAATAAAGTGTTTGATCCTGTATTTTTTTGCTGCCCTGATATTAGAGAGATCTCTGGATATTTTTAATTACAAAAGAAGGTATAATCAGTGAAATAGCTATAGTAAAACATTGTATAATTAGTTCATTTCTTATTTACTGAGTGCCTGTTGCATATCAGCCACTGGTCTCAATAATGGCAACACAGAAGTAGGAGTAAAAATGTTAAAGACCAAGCTATAGGTTGCATATTCTGCTATTGAAAACTGACAATGCATGGATATGTTGTAAAATCTCTAAAATAAACCTTACAAAGAAAATTTTTTGAAATTAAATTTATAGCATGCATATTAGCCTTTCCTCCAAGGAGAATACCATTTTAAGTATTTCAGTTATTTTCTATGTAATTCAAATGCAAATTTTATTAAGGTGCAGCTTCATTGTGTTTGTATTTTATATCCACTGAAAATATGTACGTGTTTATATATATGGCCTTTCTTAGAGGAAGTTCCTTGCTATGATAGTATATATTTTTTCAGCTATAAGCATCTTTATTTGAAGATAAGGGAAGAAGAAGGTTATTTTCATTTATTGCTATCATTCAGTATTAGAATGCTTGCATTTTACAGGTATAAATGAATTGCATGGATATTATGTTTTAGCAAGAGCATAACCTCATTGGGAATTTTCACATCATGTTGGTTTTATAATGGCATAAGATCTTTCTTAAGCTGGCAAATGATTAAAATAACTTGACTAACTCTAGTGTAACCAATTTAATGCTTCTCTAGGGAAATCAGAAGTTTCTTTGTGTTGTTTACTTGAATTTAAAATCATTAAGCATTAGATTGTTTTCAGCTAAATCTCATACATTATAACTACTTTATAACTCTAGTACAAGGTGCATTAACTTGCATATTAAAGTGATAAAACCAATAAAAGACTTTTTTATAAGCATAGCATGGGAGAAACCTTGATGTTAGCAGCATGGGGAAAACTCAATGTTAGCAGCATATAGAAAGAAAGATTTGAAATGAACTTAAAATGTGTCCAGTGATCATAGGATTCCAGTGGTTGGCTAGGAGTCTTTGCAGTAGTAGTAATTTTGAAATACTGATCCCAGGGTGAAAATCTCTAGGCAAAGTTTCAATGCTTGTCATGTCAAGGTTTGAGCTTGACTGAGTTCACAATATGATTCTGGGTATTTTAATTATTTTTATAAATTAGCTTATTCTTAGGGAATGTAATTTTTGTAAACAAAATCATGTTCATATTCTCCTTCGATTAACCTAGTTGAATACCAACTATTAGAAACTCAGCTAGGAAGACAATGTCTTAGACTCTTGGTTGTAGTTGTTTCTTGGCATCCAGGGGTTCTCAGATTATGGATCACAGACAGACAAGTGAAGAGTTACATCTAAGTGTAGAATTCTGTGGTTCCAGGGTTGCTGCAGACATCAGTGATGTAGGAGTGCGTTTCACCCAGACTAAGGTTGGTAGCATGGGGCTCCATAATGAGGTATTGTGTCTACTAGGAGCCTTAAGGGAAAGCAGGAGGAAGTTAAGAGAAAGAGTTGGGGATTCGAGGAGAATACAGTGCGTGCTGGTGTACAGTGTCATGACAGAAGACTGTAAATTCAACTACTGTATCTAGTTAAATGTGGCCAGAGCTTAGTTTGAGAAGAAGAGAAATGAGGTCAGTTCACTTAGCATTTTAATTATGCTAAGAAAATCCACAGGGGCCAGCACTGTGGCAAAGTGAGTAAAGCTGCTGCCTGTGATGCCAGCACCCCATACCGGGCTGCTCCACTTCCAATCCAGCTCTCTGCTAACGTGACGGTGAAAGCAGCTCAAGATGGCCCAAATGCTGGGGTCCCTGCACCTTCTGGGGTGACCTAGAAGAAGCCCCTAGCTTCTGTCTGGCTCAGATCTGGCTGTTGTGGCCATTTGGAGAGTGATGGAAAACCTCTCTCTCTCTCTCTCTCTCTCTCTCTCTGTTTCAAATAAACAAAATAAATTTCTAGAAATCTGCAAGCTTTTTTTTTATAGACAATGGGAGGGCAGCACACAGATTTTTATGGTTGTCAGTAACACCAAAAGAACTGTACTTCAGATCATGTAGTCATTTTCAAACCAGTCTGGAAGGCTGCACAAGACTGGGGCCTGGAGTCATGAAAATGCAGTGAGGAATCAAGGGCACAAAATCACAGCATATGGGATGGAAAGAAGGGGACAGTTTTGAGAATGAGGTCATGACATTAAATGTATGTGATATAGTATATTTATTATTCTTTCAGTGTAATGAGAAAGAGTTTCTGACTTAGAAGGGGTTGGGGAAGAAACCAGTACCATGTATTGAGGTAGAGGAACAAAATCAAGAACTTGTTGGGATTGGAAGGTGAATGTCCAAAATAATTAATTCCTTTAGGTTATTTTGAATTGCTTTTAAATGTGTGTGCAAACACACACATACACAAACGCACACACACACATATGGTGTTTCTGTGTTTTGCCTGCAGATTCATGACAGTATGTGTGTATGAAATCTTAGAAACTAAAACCTGAGTGGAAAAAGGTATAATAGTTAAAGTGATGAGGTTGAGTAAGTTCTCCCAGAGAACTTTATAGGGCATTGGAAGAGAGGAGAAAGAAGAATGGATACCTGAAATCTCCTGTAAATACTAAATGAGCAGAATACGTGGAAGGGGATAAAAATGAAATCCTGATGTCAGGAAAAGCATGGGGTTAAATTAATTTCTTTTTCTTTTTCTTTTTCTTCTTCTTTTTTTTTTTTTTTTGACAGGCAGAGTGAACAGTGAGAGAGAGAGACAGAGAGAAAGGTCTTCCTTTGCCATTGGTTCACCCTCTAATGGCCGCCACGGCCAGCACGCTGCGGCCGGCGCACCACGCTGATCCAAAGGCAGGAGACTGGTGCTTCTCCTGGTCTCCCATGGAGTGCAGGGCCCAAGGACTTGGGCCATCCTCCACTGCACTCCCGGGCCACAGCAGAGAGCTGGCCTGGAAGAGGGGCAACCGGGACAGGATCCGGTGCCCTGACTGGGACTAGAACCCGGTGTGCCATCACCGCAAGGCAGAGGATTAGCCTAGTGAGCTGCGGCGCCAGCCGGGGTTAAATTAATTTTAACAGAGATTCATTTAAAGTGTCAGAAAGTATAAGGAATTATCATTAGTTAAAGACTGAAAATCATGGAGGAAAAAAGATGTCATTGATATTCTTGATGAAAATGATCTGAGCATGTGGACTGCACACAGAAATGAGACTGTGTGTTTAAAGAGACTGTAGAATAATAAATATAGGAAACCTAGCTTCATTTTGAAAGGAAATGAACTAAAAACCTAGATGAGTTAGGCAGAGTTGGAGGGAATTTTTGTGTTTATTACTCATGGTCTTAAACACTTCTTTTCCTGTTGGTCCTAATCTCTTCTACTCTTACTATATGTGAAGCATGTGATGAATCAGCAGCATTGAGAAAGAGGTAAGCCAGCTTATCACTGGAAAGGAGGTGAAGGTAGCAACAGACAGAAATTAATAGACAAAGATGTGGGCAGCAGATTGAGGAAATTTATACCAGAAAGCCTCAATTTTGTCAGTGGGGCAAGTTTATATTCTGGAATAAGATCAAAGAACATTTATAAAAGATACCGTGGAGAACTGGAAGAAGGGCTAACCAAGGGTTTGCTGCAAGCTGATGATGGAGTAGCTTGTGCATCAGGTTAACATTCTAAATAACTAAAATTACAGGTAAGAAGCACCCCTCCCTTGCCCCATGTATGTTTATGTCATTGCATGTTTGATGATTTCTTCATCTTGTTCACCATCACAATGCAGAAATTTACTTCGTTTTATGATACAAATGTGAATTTTAAATTTAAACATTTTCATGTAACTCTTTTAAACAAAGGTTTAGGATGCAAGTATATCTATCAAAAGAATGGTGATCCTTTGCACATAAGTGAGCTCTTGGAAAATTTCAAAAAGGATGCAAGAAGCTTTAAATTGAGGGCTGGAAAGCATCAACTTGAAGATGTGACGAGTGTGTTGAAACGTTTTCTTTCTGACATCGATGATGCACTGCTTGCCAAGGAGCTCTATCCATACTGGATCTCTGCTTTAGGTAATGCACAAAATACGCAACATAATAAATGCTTGACTTACAGTGGAATGCTTAGATTTGTTTAGTCTTTGGTATCTGGAAATTTGTACATAAAGGCAAGAGCAGAAATAGTGCAATTATCAGTAGCTGTTTGTATCTTCCTCAAAAGAAATGTATGATACTTGGTAAAGAGTATGTTCTACACTTACTTTTCAATAGATTTTGTAGTGCTTACTTTATTTTAACTTCAAAGTATTGTATTCAAGTCCATATATGCTATCTTTTATTGAAAATAAAATCAAGCATTTAAAGCAATACTCATAAGATTTTTACATGTTACTCCTTTGTCTTCTTTATTTTCCTTAAGTTTCCATTTTATGACATAAAGAACTATGGTATTTGAGAGATTATTTAAGAAATATACCTAGAAAAATATTTTTTAAATAACAAGGTCTCAGTGGTTTCAGTAAAACATAGTTTTACATATATTAATTTACGACAATGCCTTTTATTTAAACATAATAAAAACTGAAATGCAGGTATTTCCTTTAATGTTTTATGTGCAATTTTTAGTTATACTTGTGATTTATATATGTCATTTATTATCATCAAACATACTCATCTGTCTATATCTTCAAAATGATTATTTTAAGTCTTCAGTTTGTCACAGTTTTCTTTTAATTAAACTGTAATTTCTAAATTGTTTCTCTCTTATACATTAACTTCAAGATTTTTGGAAAAATGGCTTTTTGACTACATGATATTTCTCTGTAGAGAAATAAAGTTTTTACTGATGGTATTGCTTTAATCTAAAATATAACACATATATTTGAATTGTGAATTGATGCCACAAATCAAACACAGCATGAAAATTATCACAAGAATGGCCCATGTTATGGGAAGTGGGATACACAGCAGACTCATAGAATGGCAGATGCCCTAAACAGCACTCTGGCCTCAGAATCAGCCCTTAAGGCATTCAGATCCAGCTAAAAAGCCTGTGAGAGTTTCTCAGGCTTGGAAAACCAAGACACTGTGGCAAAAAAAAAAAAAAAAAAAAAAAAAAGCCTAAATGAAAGACCCCTGTTAGTGAGATCCCAGTGGAAAGAAGGGGCCATCAAAGAAGGAGGTACCTTTCTCTGAAGGGAGGAGAGAAATTCCACTTTGATTATGGCCTTGTCTAAATAATGTCAGAGTTTATGAACTCAAGAGGCTTCCATAGCCTTGGCAGCTCATGACAAGAGCCTCAGGTGATTACTGACATCATAAATAAGAGTGTCAGTTGTTAATCAACAATGGGAGTCACTGTGCACTTACTCCTCATGTAGGATCTCTGTCCTTAATGTGTTGTACTATGCGAATTAATGGTGAAACTAGTACTCAAACAGTACTTTATACTTTGTGTGTCTGTGTGGGTGCAAACTATTGAAATCTTTACTTAGTATATACTAAGTTGATCTTCTGTATATAAAGACTGAATCTTGATGAATGAGATGGGAGAGGGAGTGGGAGGTGGGATGGTTGTGGGTGGGAGGGAGGTTATGGGGGTAAACGCCGCTATAATCCAAAAGTTATACTTTTGAAATTTATATTTATTAAATAAAAGTTTAAATAAAAAAGAATGGCCCATGTTAGTGGCAGCACAAGGAGAGTAGTTTTGAATTTAGAATAAAGCTTTCATTATTTTTATTTGCTCCCCATATTTCTCAAACCAATAGGGTTAACTATAATCACAATAAGAGTTGATTGTGTAGTTTTCTGGGATATAAAACATGGAATTAGATAAATGCATTTCTTTAAGCCCAGTTCTCTTGCAGCCTTCATTTTTGTTTTAAGATTTTATTGTACTTTATAACTTTGAAGTTATTTATAGTATTTCTATTTTACAAAGGCTTACTATGTCTCTTTATTGTAGAATCTGTTATCAAAACTATGTGACAAATATGTTTTTTGTTAAAGTTGTCAAACGTAGTGACAAAGAAGGCTCTCTGGTATCAGTCTGCCAGGAGGAGGTAGTCTGCAAGTGGTCGGCCTATGTCAGAAGGGAATGTGTTCACCTTTCACTTGGATGTGAATTCTTTGTGAATTTTTGTGGAGAGGCCTTTGAATACTGGGTCAAATAGCCTTTAAGTCCTTTGCTTTCACGTCCAAAATAGCTCAGCCACATTTCAGAAGTGGCCCATGTAGGATCTGACAAGGATAAACCACAACTACCCGGGTTGACCTCACAGAAGACCTATGTGGCGTCCCCTGAGCCTGAGGCTGAGAATGCCTTGCAGGGGCATACTCCTATTTATATGATGTCCTGTCTCCCTCTTAAGCTAGATTATCTAACTCAGTGCCTGATCCCATTAATCATTGCATTTTCTATGACCTGAACTCTTTCCTAAGCTTATCTTTATTTTAAAATGCTAGTTTATTCTTATGAGGTACGTAAAATATCCTATACCAGTATGACTTCTTATTATAGGAGCTGTAGTAGTAGTAATTTTATTGAATGCATACAGTTAACCCCTATAGATAGAAACTGAATAACACAAGGGTTAATATTTGGATTATACTAGGGATGATTAATTTTCAGTAGAGTCTTTTACTATAATGTTGAGTATTTCCTCTTTTTGCTTTTTGAGAATCATCTACTAGGACTCTTCTGTCAATATGACTGTGTTTACTTGTATAAATCTCATGTGCAGGCTAAATCAGCACATAAAAGATGTCACTTACAGTTTTGAATAGGATTGTCCTTGAAAAATGTGTCACAGTGTTTCTTAGATCCCCTGGGATTCTAATGCCTATTGCAGGTAACTATGTACTTTTAAAGAATCATCAATCTGCTACTGCCTCTATGTGAGGAATAGGTATGGCTAAGTGGGAAATGAAAAAGCATTGTCTCTAAATGTAGTTGGGAATTAAGAAGGAATGTATGAGTGCAGTGCCCTTGAGTTACATAGCCAGTATAAGCTGTTTCTTTGAAAAGTGATCTTTTATTTCGCCTGTTAGCTGATTAGACTAAACCACTAGTACACATTTCTAGAGTCTAGACTAGGGATGGGGAACCTTTTTTCTGCCAAGGGCCACTTGGATTTTATAACTTCAGTTAAGGCCATACAGAATTATCAGCTTAAAACTTTGCCTGCTGTAGATTTCTTGAATTTCAAGTCCCACCTGATGTTGCCTTGGCAGGGCCAGGTCAGATGATTTTGTGGGGCTTTCCCTACTCCTGGATTCTAGGCCTTTGGATTTCCTGTTTGCAGAATCTCTAATCTTTTGCCATCTTAGGTTTAGAAGTTTCGAAGGTAATTTCTTTTCATGCTCCTCTCTATGAAGCAATAAATTTCTGCTCAGGACAGAGGCAGAGAGTCCATCCTTCTCTGTGTCTGGACCATAATATTCAGACTTGTGTACAACTTTATCCATTGTCCCCTCATCATTTCCAATGATTTGTAGGTATCAGGACTGGTAAAAGGTCTTTTATTTACATCAGAGGGGTAATACAGAGTTCATAACTCTGGGATGGGTTATAGTTTGGTAAAGTTTTTAAAATTTCATCAGAAAAAAAGATTAGAATTATTATACAAATAATGAAACCTCTCCATAACCACAGATAAAATACTTTTGGATTATCACTCCTCTTTGTACTACAGTTTGAGAAATTAATTGAATGTACTCCTGTTAAAGTTTAACAGTCCATAAGGTAGAAGATAAAAAAGCCCCATCCACCCTCACATTTTGAGTCTTTTGTTTTGAACTACAAAGTATTGTAAGAATTAAAGCATTTAGCTGTGGAATGTTTATGTAAATAAATTATTTTCCAGAATTATGCATGATTAGAAGTTTGAGTGCTTTTCTACTGAAACCTGGTTGTATCATTTATTAAAATATATGAGTGACTGTTGTTTTAAAACTGTGTAATGGCCAATTTATATATAACATAGATAATCAATTTAGTACTAAACACTTTTTTTTTAATTTTCCTGCCAGATACACAGGATGACAAGGAAAGAATTAAAAAGTATGGAGCATTTATACGTACTCTCCCAGTTGTCAACCAAGCGACATTGGCAGCTATAATTGAACACCTTTACAGGTGGGTAGATACATGAACTTTTCTAGACATTTCAAATCTGTCATTTCTAAGGTTAAAGTAATATGCCTAGCCTCTTCCATTCAACTATGAATTTTTCACCATATCTTAAGAACTATCACATTATCCTTTCTGTAACTTGATATAATTAAGTAACATCTGCAAATAAATAGCACTGAAAAATTTTTTAAATGAAATAAATAGTCATACATATTTCTTCCTCAAATGCATACAGTACTAGCCAAGAATCTTAAAACTCCTGACTGCCAGTTCAAGTCCCAGATCTGCTTTCAATTCAGCATCATGCTAATGTAACCCTGGAAGCCAGCAGAAAATGGCCCAAGTGCTTTAGTCCCTGACACCTATATGTGAGACTCAGTTGGATTTCTGGGCTTCTGGTTTCAGCCTTGCCCAACTCTTGCTGTTGCCAGCATCTGGGAAGTAAACCTGGTGGATGTCTCTACATACCTATCTCAGTCTCTCTGTAATAAATATATATGGGAAATTGTAGATGGAGGAATTATTTTCTTTAAAGCAACAACAACAACAACAAAACGTTTCTGAGGGGCCAATGCTATGACACAGCAGGTTAAAGCCCTGGCTGTATGTAGTGCCAACATCTCATATGAGCACCAGTTCTAGTCCCAGCTGTTCCACTTCAGATCCAGATCCCTGTTAATGTGCCTCAGAAATCAGGGGAAGATGGCCCAAGTCCTTGGGCCCCTGCACCACCATGGGAGACCCAGAAGTAGCTCCCATCTCCTGGCTTTGGATCTGCTCAGCTCTGGCCTTTGTGGCCATTTGTGGAGTGAACCAGCAGACAGAAGACCTCTCACACTGTCTCTACTTCTCTCTGTAACTCTGTCCTTCAAACAAATAAAGTAAATCTTTAATTTTTTTTTTAAACTCAAAGAGCACCAAAAAGGGGGGGGGGCGGAATTTCTATCCTTTGGTTCATTCCCTAATGATTGCCACAGTTGATAATGGGCCAGACTAAAGCCAGGAGCCAGGAACTTTATCCAGGTCTCCCACATGGGTGTCAGGAGCCCAAGCACTTGAGCCATCATTTGCTATCTTTTCAGGAGCATTAACAATAAACTAGATTGGAAGTGGAGTAGCTGGGACTTAAACTGGTGCTCTGATAGGGACTACTGCTGTTGCAAGTGGTAGCTTGATCTGCTGTGTCAGAACTCCAGGAGGGGTTATCTTGTTGCACCATACAAATTGAACCCATGTTATATAGTCCTATCTCTGTTCCAATGAGATGTTTGGACAAATTTTGATATAAACATTGTTAGCATGTGGCATAGAATTATAGAAGAGAGAATCAATGATTCATTGAGTGTTTAAGGACCAAGACACTATAACAGGAAACGATGAGCACAGTGTTTTCCTGCAGTAAGGTCTTTACAGGCTCTTATTTCTTTATTATCAGCTTACATCTTACCTGACTACTGATATTTTGGGATTATGTAATGGTTAATATGAGGAAATTATAGAAATTAAAATCATTTTCTGTGTCAGTGCATGGAAGTCATCTTACTTTTGAAAGGATAGAGGAGTGGAATCTGACTAGAGAAACGAGAGCTGAAAGATGACAGTATTTGAAAATAGTCTTTTGGGCCGGCGCTGCGGCTCACTAGGCTAATCCTCCACCTTGCGGCGCAGGCACACTGGGTTCTAGTCCCGGTCGGGGCGCCGGATTCTGTCCCGGTTGCCCCTCTTCCAGGCCAGCTCTCTGCTGTGGCCCAGGAGTGCAGTGGAGGATGGCCCAAGTTCCCTGCACCCTATGGGAGACCAGGATAAGCACCTGGCTCCTGCCTTCGGATCAGCACGGTGTGCCGGCCTCAGCGCGCCGGCCGTGGCGGCCATTGGAGGGTGAACCAACGGCAAAGGAAGACCTTTCTCTCTGTCTCTCTCTCTCTCTCACTGTCCACTCTGCCTGTCAAAAAGAAATAAAAATTAAAAAATAAAAATAAAAAATAAATAAAAAGAGAAAATAGTCTTTTAAGTTAAGGTTAAATGTTTCTTTTGATCTTAGCAGTTATTTAAAATGACAATAAGTATAAATTTTGCTTTGTACTTTGGCAATTTATATTTATTAAATAAAAGTTGAAAAAAAGAATATATTGTATTCATCTCCCCTTTAATAGATTTCTATAAAACTGAATTCCACTAAAAGTATTTTATTTGGAGACTAGATTTAAAAGTCTTACACAGCTTATTTTCTTTTCTCAAAATTTTTTATTTAAGGTAAAAAAATCATGTATTTCATATATATATATGAAAATATATATATATTTAGGAAAATAGTGATATACCCATCTTCCCTACCTCCTACCCACGACACCAAACTTCTTCCTCCTTCTCTTATTCCCTCTCTTAATTTTAACAATGTTCTATTTTCAGTTTACTTTGTACTCATCAGATTGACCCTCTATTAGTAAAGAATTCAACAAATAGTAAGAAGAAAAAAACACTGTTCCTCAACAGTAGAGACAAAGCCTGTAAATAATCGTTGCATTTCAAAATGTCAATTTCATCCCTACACATCACATTTTGATACTATGTTAGTTACCACAGATCATAGAAAACATTTGGTATTTGTCTTTTTGGGGACTGGCTTATTTCACTTAGTATAAAAGTTTGCAGTTGCATCCATTTTATTGCAAAAGAGAGGATACATTCTCTTTTTTTACAACTGAGTAGTATTCCATTCTCTATATATCACAGTTTCTTTATCCAGTCATCAGTAGTGGGCATCTGAGTTGATGCAGTATCTTAACTATTTTGAATTGAGCTGCAGTAAACATGAGGGTGAAGATAACTCTTTCATATGCTCATTTCATTTCATTTGTTAAATTTCCAGGAGTGGGATTGTTGGGTTGCATTGTATGTCTGTTTTCAGCTTTCTGAGGTATCTCTGTTTTGACTTCCACAATGGCCGCACTAGTTTACATTCTCAGCATTTGTATTAGGGTATGTTTTCTACCACATCCTCACCAGCATTTATGTGATGATTTCTGTATGAGAGCCATTCTAACAGGTGAAATGAAACCTCCTTGTGGTTTTGGTTTGCATTTCCCTAATTGCTAGTGATCCTGAACATTTTTTCACGTGTCTGTTGCCATTTGAATTTTCTCTTTTGAAAAATGCCTATTCAAGTCCTTTGCCCATTTCTTAACTGGATTCTTTTGTTGTTGTTGAGTTTTTGTTTGTTTGTTTATATATTCAGGATATTAATACTTTAATTAGTTTCATACTTTAAAAATATTTCCTCCCTTTCTGTCATTTGCCTTGTTGTCACTGTGCTGAGTGTTTCCCTTGCAGTATAGAAGCTTCTCAGAAGATTGATGTAATCCCATATGTCCTTTTTGGCATTGATTACCTGAGCTTCTCTGGTCTTTTACAAGAAATATTTGCCTATGCCAATATATTACAGAGTTTCCCCAATGTTCTCCTTTAGTAATTTGATGGAATCAGGTTGTAGCTTTAGATCCTTGACCCATTTTGAGTTGGTTTTTTGAATAAGATGTAATGTAGATGTCTTGTTTCATAGTTCTGCATGCAGAGATCCAGTTTTTCCAGCACCATTTGTTGAAGAAACTATTCTTTTTCTAGGGATTGATTTTAGCTCCTTTGTCAAAGATTTGTTGGTTGTAGATGCATGGATTGATTTTTGAAGTTTCTGTTCTATTCCATTCATCCACATATCTATTTTTGTGCCATTACCTGGATGTTTTGAAGTATGTCTTGAAATCTGGTATTGTGATTCCTCCAGCTTTGTTTTTGTTATGTAAGATTGCATTAGGTATTCTGGCTCTCTTGTGTTTCCTTATGAATTTTAGCATCATTTTTTTTTTTGATCTGAGAATAATGCCATTGGTAATTTGATTGGGATTCCATTGACTCTGTAAATATATTTTGGTAGTATGGACATTTTGATTACATTAATTCTCCCAGTCCATGCACATGGAAGATTTTTCCATTTTTTATGAGGTACAGTAGTCTCTTCGTGGAGTCTTTTGTTCTGCTATATATAGAATCATGTCATCTGCAAACAGGGATAATTTGAATTCTACCTTTCAAATATGTATCCCTTTGATTTCATTTTCTTTTTTCTTTTTTTTTTTTTTAAGACAGAGTTACAGAGACAGTTAGAGACAGAGAGAAAGGTCGTCTATCCTTTGGTTCACTCCTCAAATGGCTTCAATGGCCAGAGCTGCGCTGATCTGAAGCCAGGAGCTTCTTCAGGGTCTCCCACATGAGTGCAGGGGCCCAAGGACTTGGGGTGTCTTGGGCCTGCTATCCCAGGCCATAGTAGAGAGCTGGATCAGAAGAGGAGCAGCCTGGACTCGAACCGGCGCCCATATGGGATGCTGGCTCTGCAGATAGTGGCTTTACCCACTGTGCCACAGTGCCAGCCCCATGATTTCATTTTCTTGCCTGATAGTTCTTGCCACTACTTTCAGGTCTATATTGAATAGCATTGTTGAAAGTTGGCATCCTTGTGTGGTGCCAGATCTAAGTGGAAATGCTTCCAACTTATCCCATGCAATAAATTACTGGCTGTGGGTTTTTCATAAATTGCCTTGATTATGTTGAGGAATGTTTATTCTATACTCACTTTGCTTAAAGTTTTTATCATGAAAGATGTATTTTATCAAATGCTTTTGTGGGGAGCAATTCGGACTGGACTGAGTTACTGGAATTAAGACTTATTCTATGCATCTGCTCTCCCACAATATGGCGCTGGGAGAGAAGTAAACAGCTTCTACACAGCTGCCTCCAGTTCAGCTAATAAACTGTAGGACTTGCTCCTGATTGGAGAGCAGCGTGCTCGGCGTGTGGGCAGCCGAGTTAGGATTGGCGGAGGAGGACTATAAAGGAGGAGAGAGACGGCATGCACCAGGAACATCTATGAGGAACATCTCAGGGGAACATCTAGCTGAAGGAACACCCGTGCAGCCCCCGAGAAAGCCGGCCGGCGGTGTGCCGCTCCC